ACATAAAATCAAGAGCCTGTGTGCAAACAAAAATGAACAAATGTTGAGCTACTTTCCATTCCTTTAGAACTAGCGGAACTTCTTCCTGTCAGCGCGCTGGAGATGTTAGAAGAAATAAAGGAAAATATCAAGAAATGGCTATATCATTACCACCAAGCGAGGATCAAGATCACATAAGAAGTATATAGGCACCTTAATTCACAAAGGCCCTAACCAACACTTTTTTCGAAACTGCGTTTTTTACAGATTTCGATAGGTTATACAACTTCAGTAAAAATTTTAAAGTGCTAGTACCAAAACCATGTAACTCCGTATGCCTATAAAATAAAAATAAAAAAATGTTGGTTAGGGCCTTTGTGAATTAAGGAAACGATATGTAGAGTTATAATTGAAAAAGACATAAAGTCAACAGAGAAGGGAAAACTGGGCATAGAAACTAAAACTCTCAAATAGCTAAAAAAAAAACTCAAAACAAATAAAGTAATCACAAAAAAGGAGACAAGACAGGAGCTGATTAAGTGTCGAGATCTAAAACTATTCAGCTACAGAATCAAATTCATCAGCTGATTGAATTGTAGTCTGAATCCCAGTTAAAATCACGCAATGCAAAAAGCAAGAATTGTTTTTGAATTGATTCCATCCTATCTGAATGAACTTGGTACCGGGGATTCCAAACAATAGATCCGTATTCTAGTATAGGTCTAACTAAAGTCGTAAAAAGAGCTTTTGTAACATAAGGATCTTTGAACTATTTTGACCAACGCTTCACAAATGCAAAAACGCCTCTGTCTTTATTGACTGTAATATTAATATGAAGGTTGAAATTGAGCTTGGAATCCATTGTGATACCAAGATCGACAAAATTGGATATCTGCTCCAGATTATAATTTGATATTGAATAAACAGCTGGTAGAACAGCCCTCCGAAAGAAATACATAACTTTACAATTTTTAAGGTTTAGTGGCATATAGTTTGCATTATACCCAATAACCACGTGGCTCAGATCCGCTTGTAACAAAGACCTGTCTTCGATAGAGGACAATGTTTTAAAAAGTTTCACATCATCGACATACATTAAAATTTTTCAATGTTTTATTATAGAAGAAATATCATTAATGAATATCAGGAAGAGAATCGGACCAAGGTGGCTTCCTTGAGGAACTCCTGAAGAAATCTTAATGATGTTGGATGAACAATTATTAAAAATAACTCTTTGTGGTCTATCAGAGAGGTAAGAAGAGATCCATTGAATAAGACTGGGCTGAAAGCCGATTAGGTCGAGTTTACGGATACGTATCGAGTGACATATATTGTCAAAAGTTTTACTGAAATCGCAGTATATTACGTCGGTAGAGTTGTAAACTCTAATAAATTAGTGATAGTCCAATAAATTAGTGATAGTAGATTTTCCTTTAGAAAACCCGTGTTGAGATTGTTAAATTGAAGAAGATATAGAATATGTCAGCTGATTAAAAATAATTGCTTCGAATAATTTGGGGATAGCGGAGAGCTTAATTATGCCTCGATAGTTTTCCTTAGAAGACCTGCTGCCGTTGACTCCTTCCAAGCTGACGGAAAAATGGCATGTTTTAGTGACAAGTTGAATAGAGTTGTTAAAGGCTCGCAGTTGTTATCAGCGCAGTTTTGAAGAAAACTGGTCGGAATATGATCAGGTCCAGGGCTAAGTGGCTTTTCATTTTTCAATTTTTTAGTGAACCATAATTGTTTTGGTTCTTCGTGAACAATTTTACGTTTCGGCACATACTTTCGAAACAAATTGAAAACAGCATCACTAAAGTGCTCCACGTCATCTGTATATATTGGCCAAGATAAGTTTGAAAGTTCTTTGTTAATTTTTCTGCAATTTGTTTTCGCAAAAACATATCTATTACTTGAACTATACGACTTATTATTATGTATTTCATTTATGATTTCGTAGCTTAACTCAAGATCGGGACGGTATGCATCCTCTGGCGGGGATCACACCGGATAATAGAGGACTTCGGAACATCATCAACGTAAACGAGATCCAAGACTTTTCCAAACGTATTTGGAAATATATTTATTTGTTTGAGGCAAAGTTCAGCAATTTCCTCCAGAAATACATTGTAACTATCTCTAGATGAAACTGGTACAACATCGGTGTCAATGATGTTCCATGAAATATGTGGCAGATTTAAATCGCCCAAAACAATCATAGAATCGGATGCCGTAAGCATTGCATTTACGGTCTCAAGTAAAGAAACTAGCTGCATATATACCGATACGGCAGAATTAGGAGGGATGTAGCAAAGAGCTAATTGAATAAACAGCCTGTACTCATGTACAAATATACATTTAAATTCGGTATATTCAATGACAGGAACACTAACTTCCTCGGGTGGTATCGATGAATGCACCGCAAAAAGAACACCACCGCCGATTCTGCCCACGCGGTCACTCCTGTATATTTGATATTCATTTGGAAGAATTTCGGAATTAAAAATATGAGGTTTGAGCCATGTTTCGGTCAAGGAAATAATATTATAATTGCAGTCAAAACCTTTTAAATATAAGTCAGTTAATTTGGTATTCAAACCTCTAACGTTTTGATAGTAAATACTTAAATTAGACTTGCGAGTTAGTTTTTTGAATCAGAATTAAGATTAGAAATTTTAGCTACGTTATTATTACTTTTATTAGGTTTATACTCAAACTCGCGAACAAACGCCCCGGTCGGCCAAAATGAATTATTTAGAAGTGCATCAAAATCTTCGGCAGCTAAATCAATTTTAAAAAATGAAATTTCGCGCTCGTATTTAAAATTAAATTTACGAATAAATACATCTTTAGTTTTAATTTTAGTCGATATGTATGACTTGATGTCATCCGAAAAAGTGTCTTTAGCAAATCTAGAGACATTAATCGGAGGAATTACAACCAACTTTTTCGTAATAATGTCTGATGTGCGTGATTCCGAGTTATTCAGATGTTGCTGGCAACACGACGCTTTGATTGACGTTATTATTTTTAGATTTAGATCTAGTGGATATGGTTTTAGATAGCGAAGGCTCCAATGCCTGCGGGCACGGAGAAGAAAGATTAATAAGTTCCAAGGACTTGCATGGAGGATTTTTCTGAGCAGATTCAATGATTAGGTGGACTAAATACTAACACGCCTACATTTATTTTCTCGGCTATCCTCAGTGTGTGGAGGGTTGTCGAGACATGTGAAAGACTTAAAAACATTTTTTCATAATGCTTAAATTTCTCAACAAGCACCGACAGATCCTTCCCGATTTCAAACCTTTTCTGGGCTGTCTAAAGAATTTAAATAAATCAACTTCGGTTGATCTCTACATTTTTAACAAAAACAAGCAAAGACCCTTTCCCTTATTAATAGCGCCTAATACCCCACCACTCAGATCAGCACATTTTATATGTGCAATACCATTGCATAGCCAGCATGACACATAGGAGTCGCTTTTAACGTGCCAATTGGTGTAAATACACGACATGTTTAAAATGATATTTATTTATAGGTTTTAGAATCAAAAAACCAAAAAAGTTTTGAAAACGATGTATCAGTCAGAGAACCAATCAGCTGGTAAATATCAGTTCGAAAGCTATGTAGCGAACAGTTTTAAATACACTGTATTTTGACACCTAATAAACACAACGCAAACAGCTGTGACAAAGACGAAACAGCAGAAATGACAAATGACAAAAAGGGAAAACGAGCAAAATCAATTGCACTTATGGATAAACAAGATCAATTGACAACAACAACATATTACATGAAACAAAATACTGGGCACATGCGATTAAGAATACCAAGTTAAAATAATCAAATTTACAGGAAATTTTGATATTTTACTTATCTTTAAATTGTGCACCAGACGTTTATTAACACTTTTTTTAACTTTTTACTTTATTAAGCTTAAACAGCTTTATAAAACACGAAATTGAAACTGAGCACAAAAAAGCACAGTTTCACAGCTTTGACGTTTGCGTTAAAGTGGAATTAATAAAGATATTTGAGGAGATTGTAGACATTTTGGAATATTTTGGTCTGGATTTTGATATGCTTCTTCTAACTTCACCATATTTCTGGCCTTGATGGGCATATATTTAGTCGCACTAATGTCACTCATCGATAATTTATCCAAAGGAAACGTGGTTAACAGACGAGTTTTCCCTTGAGTTGGTGAGCACTTTTTCAATGAAACTTTGTGTCGAACGGCACGTGCAGCAGCACTTTTCGGACTTTTTCGACTTGGAAAAAGTTCTGCTTTACTGCAGGTCCTCATGTCGGTAGTAGCTGACCAGTACCTGTCAGTATAATTTTGTGTCCCTTATCAGATGCGCCTAGCTACATACATATATACATACATATTGTATGTACACGTGTTGTTCTAATGGCATCAGTAGACACTTTAATCAAAGTCATCGAGCACACTTAATTTGTGCCAAAGATCCGTAACATTTCAACAGGCTACAGCTGGATTTAAGAGGACAAGTGGAAAACTAGTTACTGTTATGAGGAGCTCCATAACTTCCTGAACGTATGTTGTACATGTCTCTAAGAGGTTCAGGATAAATGTGGCCTTTAGCTTAGCTTCATACCTTGTCTACCCCTTATCACTGGTGGAAGGAAGTAGAGTGTCTGACCTTTTAATGACTCATAACTTAAAATCTGTCTCTTAGTGTTTATGCTTTACCTCTGGTAGGGGAAAGCAAAAAATATTAAACGAAAAAATGTGTTTAAGCATCGGCTTCGCTTCCAAATCTAAATTTATTTTGGCTTCAACAGCCATTTATATGAAAAATTTGTATCCTTATTTTTACTCGAATCATATACATACATACATACATACATACATACAAACATATCTACATATTGTGACAAATTCTGCAGAATATGAAAAAAATTATTTTGAAGTCTATTCTAGTCAAGCGGTTTTTTTAAGATTAGTTGAGTTGAATCATTAGTAGAGCGCGGATTTGTTTTGCAAAAAAAAATGAACGTATTTATGGAAGGCAATTTTGAAGCACATGTGAACACTGGGCCCTATGCGGTAAGTATTAACATATCAAACCTTTATTCCATTTTTTTTTAGATATGTATTTACACTTTTTTCAGATCCTCCTCACACCTGAAGAGTTGGCTAGAGAACTGGCAATAGAACCAGCGTTAAAGAGGAAAGCCTCATCACCGGAGCTCCAGAACGATGTGAAGCCCAAGCGAATGCGCCATTGTTTTACTAAAAAAGAAGTTGACTTTTTGGAATATGAGTTCAAAAAAAGTAAAATTTTGGCAGCCCCTAGACGCAAAGAGATATCGCATATTTTGGGTATCCAGGAACGTTCCTTGAAAATTTGGTTTCAAAATAGACGCAGGCGAGAAAAGCAAATGGGACAAGTATTAACAGAGGTCAATGACTTGCTCGCCGCTAGCGAATCTGCTTTAAATTTGAGTGAAGCAACTGCCGAAGCAAGCGCACGTGAGGAAAGAGGCAACTTTACGCCTGAGCCGGAAGTTGTTAGTACGCCACAGTGTATGAGTGCCGCAGATATCCTTAAAGATCTCATTGAACTGAGACAAGATATACAGGATTTATCCAATATGGACCTGTGTCCAGATCTTGAGCTATTTAATGTTGATTTGAGTATGGAACTAGATTTATCGGAAGTACCCGCTAGCAAAGACTTAGATTTGATTCCAAGTCTTTATATTTTATAAGATTTTAAGTTATATAGTCAAGATTCAGACCTTGGTTTTATGAAATGAAAACATGGTAGGGAATTACTTCATTTTGATAATTCTTAAATTTAGAGGAAAATATGTATGTATGTATTTTAAAAGAGAAGATATATACGATTTTTAGTTGTGATATTTTATAATTTAAAGTTTTATATTTGACAATTCGGTACGAGATGCGTTTTTTGTAATTAAAAAATCTATATATCGCAATATACTTATGTATGACGTTATATGGAGAATTTATTTAAATTTACTTTTTTGAAGATTTCATCATACAATTTACAAGCTAAATAGATAACGAGATCACCAGTGGCCGAAAATAACCATTAAAACCCATTATTTTAATTTTTGGATCATTGCAAATCGTTATTGTTTTACTTCTATTTTTTCGTTAAGGATCATCGTTAAATTTGGATCTATTTACGCATATTTTTTTCTCAATCAAAAATCGTTATTTTCTATTTTTTTATTATTCTTAACTATTGTGAACCCTGCATTATTATGACCGTTTTACATCTTTTTTAATCGAAAAGATAAAATCCAAAAATAGCTTTTAAATTTGACCGGAAAAATAGGAATACAATGTTGACGGTTAAACTAAGCGAAAATATAGATGTTTTTCTTATCAATACATATATTAAGAAAAGGACATTAGTACAATAAAATCTTAGATCTTCAATAGTTCAAAACAAGAAAGTAAGAATGAAATACAAGTTACTAAAAATAAGATACATATATCACATTACATGTACAACAGAACAACACAGATGACAAAACGAAGGTCAAACATATTGACGTATACAAATTTTAGACGGAAATTCTGACTAAGATAGTAGAAAGTCCCAAGTAAGACAATTGAAAGACAACAGGCAAGACAGTTTGAAAGCTTTTGTTTATTCTGGCACGAAAGTCGTACAAAAAAGCTCCCTTGCCAACTTTCATGGTAAAAAGCTCTTTTGACAGAAACCACTTGAAAATGTTCCAAAGCAGTGATGCTCAAAACAGCGCCCTCGGACGGAACTTTTCAAAGCACTCTGTAGATTTTAAATGGACGCGCACAGAGCAAAAGCTTTCTCTGAGCATCACTGTTCCAAATAAACATGTACAAAATATTTTTTTAATCTCATTTAATTTTTAGAATCTTATATTTTTTTTATTCAATTTGTGTGTATTTTTTTAATTCTAAGAATCTTTTTGTCTTAAATAGAAAAACAATTGTTTTTAATCTAATTTAAGTCATTAATTTTTTTTTTTCTTTTTCATAACCTTTTTTCTTTTTTAAATTAATTTTCTTTTAAATTTTAGTTTATATTATTCCAAAGAGAAAAATATTTTTGTTGATTTCATTTAATTTTAAAGGAACATATTTTATATTTCTTCTTTTTTAATTCAAAATCCTTTTAATTTTTGGATTTCGTTTTTTGAAAAGAAATATATCGTAGCACAGTGTGAGATTTAGTCAATCTGGGACGCCAAAATGAAAAAATATGCTTGAAAATCGATCATATGTACATATTTTGTAATTTGTTAGAAAAGATCACAATTGTTACAAAAATAAGCATAAAAGAGAATAGAAGAAATACAATTCGTATGATAACAGTTATCAAACGTTGCATGCTATTGAACAGCATGCAAAAACAAATTTGCTAGCTTGGATCAATGACAAAATTTTGAGTGATCAAATTGAAGTTGTGCGCGTTTTTTTCGCCAAAAAGTTTTTTTGTATTAAAGGTCAATACTTGCACTAAAAATTTTTGCTATACACGACCCTTATATCTGTACTTAAGTGCTTTAATCAAATTATTTTAAAATCAGCTAAAAGGTAAAACCAATTTCAAAAATCTTAAATCTTTCATAGACTATAACTTACAAGTTCGGCGTAGTTCGGCTATAACAAAGAATACAGGATGAGCGTACATACTCATAAAACAGAATTAAAAAATAAAATCTTGCCCATAGGCATCTTTTTTCAACTTAACTGATATATTGCACGAGGATCTTTAAGAAATTTGCTTGAGTGAGATAAAGGTGAAAAGCCGTAATTTAAGATATGTATATCAACTTGAAATTTGGGATAACAATAATAATAGATTGGCGCTTACACATATGTTAGTGTTTGGCCGAGCTTCTCCTCCGATTTGTGGCGGGCTCCTTGATGTTGTCACACAAAGCGGAGAGACCTACAGTTTTACGCCGACTCCGACCGCTGTTAAGAAAAAAACCTTTTTTTTCTAAATTTTTTTTTTGGCGATGTTGCTTTGAATAGTGCTTGAACCCAGGTGCTGCGGAGTGGAAGCGCGCACTGCTTACCATTACACCATAGCGGCCGACAAATTTGGCATGCGTGATAAGAAAAACATAGACTTATGTAAAAGGCGACTAGTTTCGAACTCACTCAGTCTATAGAGGGAGTCCCAGTGATAAGGGTTTTCTTTTGGGAAGTGATAGGTCTAGCCGAACAAAAAATTTTATGGGGTTTGGGATCTAAAATGCCACCCTGGGGAGTTAAAGGGTTAGGAAGGTGATCGGCAGTAATTCTAGAAAAAAAAGTGCTCGTGCTTAAACGAAAAGCTCTAAAGAAAAAGGAGATATGGAGCTTCTTTAGCTAATTGTATCTGCTTTTGTTTTTTAGTTTTTAGGTAAGTCAGGGCATTATAAAGTCAAAATTTCAAGAAGTTTTGTCCCTTGTTTTACTTTGGCGGCCATTTTGGTATAAAAAATATACTATTGACCTATATTTTTAATTTTTTTTTTCAACATGGCCATGAAATTTCCTTCAAATTTGCCCAACCTATGTCATCAAATTTTTTTGTTTTTACTCCGGAAAAAATATACTTCAACTAGTCTTTTTGGTATAAAAAAAATTCGATTAACCTATATTTTTAATTTTTTTCTAAGCAAGATGTATTGTACGGTGAATTTCTGCCTTATGGTTTTGAGCGTTCTAGTTATGACTTAGTTCTAGCGGTGAGTTTTGTCATTGCTATAGCCTAACCAGTGCTAAAAATATGTAATCATATTTACGCATGTTAAGCTATGAAGTGGGAGGTACATTTTAGACAAGGTGCTCAATAAGCACGAAATCCAAATAGAAAAAATAGAAGAACCAAATTTTTTGTGGATACTAAGAGAGTTGATGCATGTATACAAGGTTGTTAAAGACAGTAAGGTCGGGATTGTAATGCTCTCACCCCTATGATTGTCCTATATTGAAAAAAGTGTACCCTTATTTTTTTTTTTTTTTTAAATCAAAAAATATTTAGAGGTCTCTCAAAGCGCTCAAGATTTTCCATGTATTTTTGTATGGGAAAAAACCAATTTTCGTAGAAATGGTATAGAATTCTTGAAAATCAATATTTTTCGATCTGTAAACCCTGGTTCTCTTCAGGAGACCTTCAATAATAATACCCAATTGTTCATTTAACCATTTTTAATACTAACTATTTTTTGTTGTTTCGCCTATTGCATTTTTCGGGGTTTTGTGGGTTCTTCGCGGGCATATAAATTATAGTTGCGTCGAAAAAAATGGTTAACTAAACAACTGAGTATTATCACTGGGAATCATCTGCAAATAAACAGAGTTTTCTGATAGAAAAATTTTGATTTTTAAGAATTCTACACCTATTTCTACGAAAAGTTGTTTTTCTCCATATAAAATACATGGAAGACTTTGGGCGCTTTGAGCGACCTCTAAATATTTTTTGATTTCAAAATAAAAAAATAGGGGTATGTTTTTTTCGGTATAGAACAATCCTAGGGGGTGAGAGCATAAAAATTCCGACTTTACTTTTTCACATGCATTTTTGGACCACCCTGTATACACAAAGCCATAATACAAAGTTTTGACCACTCTCAGGGGAGATATGGGTCGTACAGTACGTACGTACGTAAGTATGTAAATATACATATATACATACATAATGTCATACTGGCGAATTTTTTTGCGTAATAAAATTTTTCGTGGCTACAGTATTATTGTGAGTAATTCGAGCGTTGCATACTTACATATGTATATGTAACACTCACGAGTTAAGATGTAATAAAATTTCAATTTCAATCGGAATCAATGAAAGGCTCAGATATACATACATACATACATATGTGCTTACTACATATATGTAAGTATGTACACAAATCGGAACTTCACCTGCTAACTCGTTTGCAATTAAATTAGCCAATAAAAGACAGAATAGTCGCATAAATCATAGTCAGCGCAAAATACTTTTACACCCACTCAAATTTCTGCATAACAAAACAAACATAAGTCATCCGTAATATGGCAGCAATAAAAGACGAGTAGCATTTAAGAATCATACAATACATAATAGTGCAACAATAAATCATAAGGAGAGAAAAAAAGAAGTGAAACAGAAAAAGATTCTCTAAGAGCAAAGGCAAATAAATAACATAAATTTCAAATTAGGTACGGCAATTGCAATGAAATTAAGTTGAAAAGAAAAACCAACGAGATATACATACATATGCATGTACATTAGACCGGATAAAAAATCGATCATTTCTTTTTATGAATTTTCCATAAATTCACTCCACAAAAAAGTTATTCAAGGTTAAATTCGTACATACAGCGGCGAGAATGTAAATAGGGAAAATACATTTTAGCAAGTTTTGGCTACTGTTTTTGTTTATAAAATTTTTATTATTTTTTTACAAAAATATATCTCGTTATCTAGAAAAACATGTATGTAAATTAAAACAGAACATTTCTATAAAAACCGACAAATTTTAACAAACCTTGTTCAAAATTTTACACTTTTTAATCAAATTCTTATTTATTTTTATTTTTTTGAGTATGCAGTTTTGTAGACGAATAAACTTTAGTAAAACAAAGTACAAGTTTAAAGTAGCTAGGACTTACCTTTGATTTTTGGCAATTGTTTGACGCGCATTTTCTTCCATACAAAGTATGTTCGACAATTTTTTTGTCTGAAGAAAATAAGCAACACCTACTAAAAATTTGC